ACTCTTACTCATAACCCAGTACATAAAACTTTTTTAAATTGTTATACTTGGCTAATACATACCTTTAAGCATAATTGTGAAATACCTCAAGAGTATTTTCGTTTTTGTTATGAAAAAGTGAAGGGTGATACAGGTTAGTACGACGGTTACAGCATCTTTATAAATATGGAGTTATACTTCAATCAATCATATGTTTCGACTGGCTTAACATATTTAGCAAAATATTACCAGTTTGATTTTCACAAGAACTGTTTATTGTTTCTTATAATATTTGTTGGTACGCTGATGACTCTTATGTCTTAATGCTATAGACAAATTTGTCAAAATTAGATTTTTGATGGTTCTATTTGATAATTTTCCTACACATCATATCTATGCATTAAAACTAGTCGGTATTTGCAAATAATTACCAAAATAAAAGAGGATGTCATCCACTAGGTTAGGTTACAAAAGAGGATATGATTACCAAGCTTAGACGATCTGCTTGAGTGGACGTTTTGATTTACGCAAGAGAATGTATAATGATTATAAAAAAGGCTATTTAATGCGACTTTAAATCGATTAAAATAAAACAGCTTAAGTCGGTTGCTATTGTTCTGTCAACCTGAAACACTTTTTTTGCTCAATCATTCTCTCTACCTGCTTTTATTGATTCTCTAGTTCTATCTTGCTACGATACGTTGTAATTTAAGTTAATGCACTTCTGACAGAGGTCTTCAATCATTGTTTATTATGATTACTAAAAAATGCGTAATATTTTTTATTATAACCCAACTTTATCTGGCCTTAAAAACAATTTTATATAATTGACATATCACAATTCTGGAACTCTTGGTGTTTAAACGAAGAACAAAACACTATGTGTGAATATTAATAATCGCATATGAGTTGGTAATAAATGATAAACAAGCACTTGTTTTTGCTTTACTTAGATATGTAAAGAAGTATACAAACCTGAGTGGCATTTGGAAGAAATAACGCATATACATATACTAAGCATATCACATGAAATCCTAAGAAAAACAGCTATCGTATAAATTAATTCACAAATACAAACAGTTTTTAATATTACTACTTAATTTTTAAGACGATGGAAAAAATTCGAACACAAAGTTATGATAAATCACTAATCAATCTCTCATCAATTTAGTCTTTGATGTATGAAAAAAGACATTTTCCTCTTCTCCTACGTGAAGGCAGCTGATCGTATTATAAAAAATTATTAAAAATGGTACAACTCACTGAAAGATATCTATATAATATGCACACAGTATGTCGCACGTAAGAACACAAACAGATATTAGGCCTAGATGTCACTACCAAATAATTTTTCTCTATACTGTCAAAAAAGAACAATAAAAAGCAAACAGTTTGGATTGAGAAGTTGAGAAATCCCTCTACAGTAAACAAATAAATACGGAAAATTGTAATTTCAGCTTTATCACAGACATAATAATGAATACTGCGAGGTGATTGAAAGACCTCTGAGTAAAAGAACACTTCTTCAAACATCATATACTACAGTTTCCAAATCTATCTAAAAACCAAAGTCCTAAGAAGTCTTGAGCACAGTAAGCAGTGTCGACGTGCTGTGTCCAGTTTCTAGATCGATCAAGGAGTAACCAAAATAAAAATCGATCACTTAATTTTTTATAATTTTGTATTATTCCATTTTTAATATTTTTGAGTGAATTTTAGTCAGTCCTAATTGAAATGTGTGGATCCTGCGCAGATTGGCACGATAAAGCAATTGTTACAAGTTTTCGTAAAATAGATGAAATGTAGCTAGCAGTAAAATCCAGGACGGGCATTTCGTCTCCAATATCTAAGTGAATATATCATGTTATGTTCTAATTACACCATATTATTACTATATTCCGAAAATAATAATTACAGTATTCATGCCAGTTTACAGGCATGATCAGCTTGATATAAATAGTAACATTAAATTCAGAGAAAAAACATGTGATATGAGATTGTTTTAAGTTTATTAGTTCAAAAATTGTTTAGGTAGTACATTTATGACGTGTATTACAACAACGTAATGCATCCGCCGGGAACTTTTAATTCTTCTTAAGTGGACATCCTGTTGATTTTCTGTGCCATAACGATTTAATTATAATCATCTACAACTAGAGAAAGTAAAATGGAAACAGAGAGCACGGAGAAGCAAAGCAATAATTGCCGGTCAGGTCTATCATAATACATGTGTATTGTGACTCGGTGATATACTGTTCACGTTAGATATTATTCAAATTAGTTAAGGTTGCCAAAGACAGTGTTAACGTAAAGTAACAACAGGTAGGTGGTTTTATTTAGTGAATTCAGTAATAAGAATGGCTAAACACTTATAGTTCCTATAATCTTACTTATGGAATAAGATACACTTACAGGTGCTAGAACATTTAATGCAGTAGGCATCAACGTAGCGAACATAGAATTGGAGTGATTTCATCTTATGGATAGATTGTGGTAGATTATTCTAGAGTCTGGAAAATTTACAGGTAAAGTAATTCATATAAAGAGATGGTTTAGAATGGGTTTGTTTCACTAGTGACAAGGAGTTACGGGTATCGTAATTAGAAGTTTCCGCATATTGAATTACTTGACTGGATATAAAGGGTAGTTTATTAAGTATTTTGAAAAGATTAGAATTAGTTTGAGTCTCCTCTTCCATAAACGGTCCAGCCCAAGTTTATTACATTTGGAATTATAATTCGAGGTACAATCAGTTCCAAGAATCCTAAATGTAAAACGTCTCTGTACTGATTCCAGTCTCAATTTATCCTTTATACGCACACTACTAAGAATAGACGTGCATTAGTCTAGGAGTGGTCAAACACACACTTTGTTCATCAAAATACGCAACCCGTTGTTATAAATGTTTCGAGTTATATAACCCATAAGACGTTGAGACTTGAAGGTTTGCTTTAATACCTGTCCTGTAAACAACAAATCGTAGGAGTATCTAGGTCTACTACTGTATGTAACTTAGATAAAACCACACCATTTATGGTAAGATCTAAGTTGAGTGATGTATTACCAAAGTATATCCATCCACATTTAGCTGTGTTAAGCTCCAGATGCCATTTTGAGCACCACTGTGCTACCTTATAAAGCTCCATGCTGATGAAATTCTGCACATTGTTCAGCTCATGAAGAGAAAATGAATAGACTTCTTTAAGATCATTGGAAGGGGCTTACCCACACGAAAACATTCATAAATATCATTGATAAAAAATATAAAAAAGCTTAAGATGCTACTTTGTATTACAACACTTCTGACAGGAATAGCGTTCGATAAGGAAGAGTTTATTTTAACCATTTGATGTCGGTGGCTGAAGAAAGAATCAAACCAATCAAGCAGAGGGTTTTGGATCCCGTAACCAGAAGTTGTTGGTTAACCATATTGAAGGCTTTAGGACTGTCAAAGTATAGAACTAAGACTAGATATGCTTAGTTACGTCGAGAAAAAAGTGAAGTAAACAAATGAAAGTGGTATGTCATACAAGATCGAACTCTAAGGAATCCATGTTGAGAATCATTGATAAGTTTTTCAGAGAATGAATAGTTGGAGAGTTCGTCACCAACAATTTTTTCCATAATCCTAGAGATAACTGAAGTAATATTCATGCGCCGATAATTGTTAATGTCATTCTTATCTCCAGATTTGTAACGTAGTATGATATACGCGGTTTTGAACAGTATGGGTAAGTACCTACTTTCATAGAGAGAGTAAACAGCTTTGGAAGAAGAAGTAGAATATCTGGACCACTTTATTTGTAGAGAAAAGATGAAATCTCGTCTACTCTATGACCTCTCGAAACCTTAAGGGTATTTATCGCCTTACTAATTTTCAAGTATGTGAAAGAGATAGATTTGATTGAGTTGCTAGTAATGCACATGATTCTTGAAACAGTGCCATTTAGGAATTCTTTACCGTTCGCAAAAATACGGCTGAAAAAGTCTGCTATAGTTTTAGAGTCGTATATAAAAGTATTGTTATGAAGGATGCATGGTATGTCAACATTTTAATTTGCTTTAACGCATTTATTGAAAAGGAGAATTAAGTTGTGTACTTTTGAGCTAGTATTAAGTGCTAACAGCTCCTCATTAGTGTCTTTTAACCTGTGCTTGCTTTAATTTGGTTGGTAGGGCAAAACATGGTGGCGGGAAGTATATTTTTGTATGATAGAGCCATTTTAATATTTTTTATATTCGATCTGGAACCAGACGGTTCTGTATATGCTATCTTCTAACATGGTATAGACTTTTTGATCATAGCAGTGTTTTTAAGAGCTTTCACGTTAGAAATACGTATTTAGGTATGGGCTTCTAATGTTACATTGGAAGATATCGGATTAATGCCTCCATTAAATATACATTGGTTACCTGAGGTCACTACAGGCATTAGAGGAAGGTTAGCAATCATCATTGGTAAATCAGAGTATTGGCTAACATGCGATAGATTAGCCACTGTAATTTAAGGACGACCATTGAGCAACGTTAAAATGACCTTGAATATGTCCACCTACCAACTAAGACTAAATGAGGGTTATAAAGCAGTGTGAGTAATTAGGATTATGATTTACAGTTGGTTGTTAGGGTTAGGAATTAGATTCAGGGTTTTGATCACTAAGTGACTTCAGTTATAATACCACAACTCTATTTAGCTAAAGGAATAGATGAATTTCGCGTTAAAATCCAAGACCTGTTATTTTAAATTTGATCGGTTCGTTCACAAATTATAGTCTTCAACTTTTGCATAAGTCTTGGATTGGTGGTTTTATCTGAGACTATACGAACGTTCCTAAACTTCGTAAGAGCGCAGATTAACCGAGATTAAATAGAACAAATTGGTTTTCAAGCTACCTTTTTACTGATTAAGGGCTTTATATTATATATATATATATATATATATATATATATATATATATATATATATATATATATATATCAAATTACCTGAATATTTATTGTTTATTTTTAACAAACTTTAGCCTATTCACGGTAAATCAGTGACAAATAATGATGATAAATTAAAAAAACACCAAAATGCTTTTAATCAATTCAATTCAATTAAAATAACTACTTCAACAAAAGAGTCAGTTGTACAAAATGATCACGTCAGTGAAGATCAAAATAACGATATCAATCAATTTGTTGATTGTGAAAATCGTAGTGATTCTAGTGTTACTGATTCTCAACAATTAATATCACATCCAAGAACGTTATTCCCTCGTCCCCAGTGGTCGCCAAATCTTAGCTATTACATGTGGCCTTCTATTCAGAACAATAAAAGTAAATCATGTCAAATTTTGTATATAAATGTTATTAGTATTACCAATGTTTTTATTCACTTCAGAAGTTAAATGTTAGCTAACTAATTTGATTAATTTTTGATTTTTCCTTAAGTCATGCGTTTCAAAGTTGTTTATTGATTTCAATAGCTTTCAACCAACGAATAAAGGCACGTTTATCGATTTCAGTGAGAATTCGGGACAGAATTACACTGAACACAGTCTTTGTTAATGTCTTCAATATTTACTTTTGTATAGAAATAAATAATTAGAAGTTAATGCTTGTTGACTGAGGATTTATATTTTCTCGTCGTTGCTCAACTGATGAGTTCTGTAGAAACTTTTGACTTATTAATCGAGAAAACTAGTGTTGTTCAATGTTACTACTTTGCGATTATCAGTAACCATGGTGACAAATAAATAATTGGTTTCTTATTTATTCGAATTACTATGAATTTAACAGTGTAAACAGAACTTCCACCTAAGAGTTTTAGTATATGTTAGTTTTAAGTTGATTTTTTAATTTAAACGATACAGATGAATCATCAAATAAAAATATTTAGTCTACTCAACTTTATCACTGAAAATATTTTACTCTAGTTTAAAACCAATTTGTTTCTCAGTCGATATATTATTTTAGAAGAGCTTACACATTCAATAATTTTCAAAAAACTATTTCTTTGATATCTTGCCGACTATGTTAGTGAAGTTACCCTTGAAAGTACTATAAAAATACATTGAAAACCTAAGATTGACTGCGATAACACTATATTAGTTACAAAAAGCTTGTTTGTAGACTATTTTATTTGACATGCATTGTAGCATAAACTATGTCATTTCTGTAATAATTAAATTCACATACGGAAGGCCTCACACGAATAACAAACAAAATCATGCAGGTTACTGATTTGAAAAGTTGATTTCAACTAGCTAGTTTATGAACACTTATTAACATAAAAGTAAATTGTATCTCCAACATCCTATAAAGAACTATTAAAACTAAGGATAAGAAAATGAGTATTTAGTATTATGTGTGACTTCCTAATACATTGTACTCATCATTGAGACACAAAATCGCATTATCTCAGTGTGAAATATATTGGCTTCTGCACTCTCACAATTTTCATTGAACGTCTTGAAATTGTCGGTAAAAGTTGATCCTCACTATTAAGTCAATGTACTACACGAACATCATTCCAAATCAAATCACTATTTAACACTGAATTATACTTCAATATTATACTTCCGGAGAATTTCAGAGTGAGATATTCAAACTCAGTGGACAACTAACAGCGAGTATTGTTGAATAGTCACAAACTAGGAGGAGACGTATATCTATCGTCCTAATGAAGTAAGATTTTCTAACAGCAATAAAATCTTCATAAATAACGTCTCTGACTCCTGAGCAAATACCTGTTAATGACTTTTTCAAACATATATTTTTCAAAAGTCAAGTGAGATATTATTGGTAAATGACGATAACCAGATAGGTACTCGTAAATTTCATTGAGTGTTCTTGTTTAAGTATTGTTTGTTCTTCACATTGATGTTTAATTGAGCATCGATTGATCAAATGTTAGTTTCATTTTCATTGTAATTATTATTGTACCATGTTATAATGTTCAAATATGAAGATGATATTCCTATTTTTAGTGAAAAGAAACTGACACATTTTCTCAGCAATTTGAGAACACCTTCGAAATTCAATAAGAGAATAATTTGTACTAATCCCGAAAAATTAGTCGTAAATCATTATTTGAAAATAGTGTGGATCATAGAGTAACTAGCACAAATCATTACAATGAACTAGACGTAATCTCTTGAAACATGCACACTTATAAACATGATACATTTTCTTATCTAAATTACTAAAATACAACTTATTATTACTGTAACTTTCCAATAAACTATATACATCAATTAAGTGTATGAGAGATCATCATCAGTGAAATGGATTGTAAGATGTTTAATTCTATCAATATTTTCTATTGTTTCCTCCTGATAACACTTGTCAACATAAGTGCCTAAAGTAAACTTCGATTTCAAATATAAGTTATTAAATAAGACTGACCAATTTATTCAAGTCAATGGATAGTAATATTTAAATGTTTTATATCTAGCTCATCATTGGTAAGATAGAATTATAGTAAAAGGTATTTAATTAAGGTATTGAGAATACTTTTTTTATACATCATCCCATAATGTAAAAACATATGCATCCCATTCAATGTGAAACTATTATTTTATTTGTGTACTCTTTCCTCATTCCATAACCTTTGTTAATACCATCGATTGCAATATCGTTCATTGAGAAGACAACAAGTAGAACAATGAATGCGTTACGCTTTCAGGCTGTGTTTAGTCTAAATGTTTAGTTTCTGGTTTAATATTGGCTAAAGAAAAATTACTGGCTTCTAAGTAATTATTAACATTTGTTGAAATTATTACATACTAACATACTTCACAGTTGAATAAATAGGTATGTAATTATCAATAAATGATTGATAATTTAGCATTACAAATATCGCTGTTGCTTGGTTTACTTAGACCAGAGATAATCACCTTAAATTGAACTAATTATTATCTAGTTAAATAATAATGTTAAGGAGTAGACTTAGTGTATTTTGATAAAAGTTTGTTGTCGTTACCCTTTTGCTTTGGTAACACTATAAGGTGACACTTTTGTTTTCAATTGACTTTGGATTGTGTATTTCATGTACGAATAAATTTCGTAGCCTATATGAATGGATTTTTTTCTTGCTTTTAATCAAATAGCATCTTGTACTCGATCCTACGATATTATGAACAGAAGCATTAGTAATACAGATGGAATAAATACATATCGATTGATGCCTGCCGGACAAATTTCTCAAACCACAAGACATTTCCCTCGTTTATCAGCAGCTGAAATTCCATGTGAGCGACCTAAATCAGCCCCGGTGAAAAATTGTAGAAAAAAAATAAATCTTGATTGTAAAACTTATTCTGTTCATTATCCTGGTTTATTGGCTAATGGAAATATGAATATATGTTAAATAAACAAAAAGCGAGTGAATATCTTCCTTCCTTTGCGACAAACATCGTTTTCCAGAATCTATTGTATTTATTTCTATTTAATTTATGGTAAAAACTGTGATATTTTGATTTGGCTATTTTTCATTCTATTTTCAATTTGAAATAAAAGTATTTTACAAATGTACTGTAAGATTTAATTATGATTATTGTCAATTATTTCCTTTTTTCTACCATCAATATCCATCAAGTAATTATTTTTGAACGTTTCAATTTCCCACATAACTTTATTTGTCTTTGTACACTTTCATTTGATTATATTTATCGAGGGTTTCCAAGAAACAAAAAAAACACTGAATTTTTATGTCTTCCAGTTTTGGTGAAGTGATTCAACATGTCATTCATCATTTATAAACAATTGGTTTTTATTATCTACCAAATAATATCGTTAGAAATTTCTTATCAAATGACTACCTCTATTTTTATATACATGTATTTAAAGACCATTTATTTTCATAGACGCTTCATTAATTTTAAATGCTGCCTCATGACTAAACTCAAGTAACAGTTCAACTGTTGAATACCAGAAAAAAGAGAAAATGAACGTATGCTTTTATGGTTTTAAATTGTAAGGCGAATTAAGGACATACTGTTTAGTAGATGAAAACCGGTTGAATTGCATAACTATATGCTCGTTATCTGTTATTCAATTTTCTGTGATTTAAGGTAATTCTCGTAAATCGTTACGATTAGATTTTTAAAGACCAACTAATTTTCAGGACTTAAAAAGAATGTTAATAGCAAGTGACCACCCATGATTATTGCCGAAAACCTTAACTAATTGGATTTATGAACACTGAGGTATTATAGTTTGTTACTTAAACAGAGACTCGTGATTGTTTTTTGTATTATCTGAAAAGTGAATGACTTAGAAGATTAAAAGTCACTTGAGAATTATTACAAAACCATTTTTAACTGATCATAATACTAGGAGATAGTAGTAATCAGATGTCAAAATAAGATTGCTAACTGTAGCTCTTCACTTCTGCAAGAATTCCAAATATAAAATTACAGTGAACTGTTAATTTTGACTAATTTTACATGATATTTCATGCAGCCAGATCCATTGACAAATTTCAAACAGAGCAAGGGCAACAAAATATTGCAGAGTCAAATGAATCCATTCTATTTCACGGTTTCTCATCAGCCACATACAACCTTAAATGACAATTGTTAATATAATTATTAATAAATGTTTAGCATACTTTAATTTGTGAAGTTTAGATAAATGATCGAAACGTAGCCGAAATCATAAGAAGAAGGAGAACAGGGATACAAAGTATGTAAATAAACTTAGTTGATGTCGATGTGTATTTTTATGCTGGGAAATAATAATTCAGAGCTAATGTAAAGGTAATGAAATCACTAAGTGATTGGGTAATCGCTCAACATGATATAATAAACAAACTATTAATAAGATGTTCTAAGAGACGAATATCAGAAGACGAATCGACAACAAATATAAAAGGTTGAGAACATGGCTGGAAAAATATTAAAAGTTAAAATCAATAAGGCCTATTACGTGGACACTCAATCACCATGAGAGGAAAATGCAAATCACATTTTTCTTCTGTAGACATATATTAGGTCGTAAACGTTTGATAGCGATTGCCTTAGCCAAATAGAGTAAGATTGTTTTTGTCTGTTAATTATTTTAAGTGCATTTCTTTCATTTATCTCATGTCTACTATCGAGATGTCTGAGAATTACACTTGTAAAGACTTAGCTCCACTATGATGATTAAGAGTATTCTAACTAATGTGTTAACTAAGAGTTCCGGAAATAGTGCAATTTAAAAGAGGTAGAACTAGATGAGCACAAATGAACGTATTATATTTGGAATTCGTAATCAGTGGGCCATCAATTACAAAGGAATCTTGAGTTCGTACAAATACCACATCCCTTTACTAATGTTTTTCATCCCTGTTTACACGATATCATCACAGTAAATAATCAGATATGTGCAGTCAGGTGATTTGGATGGAAGATGCAAGATACATGTGGAAACAGTTTCGTTCTTTAAAATCCAACTATGTAAAATGATATAAAAATTAAGTCGTTTCTTCAAGTAATAGTGATCAGTGTTTTCGATACGGTTTAATTACATATGTATACTTCAGTGTACCAAAGAAAACTATTTCAGAAAGTTTGACGAATGTTTCCGCTGGTGATACATCAAATGTTTCAATTAATGACATATTAATAATGTAAATGAAAATGATTTTCATTGAGAAACAAGTATTTATCCTAATTTCAGGATGGAGAAATGTGTATTAACGTTTGATTTATGTTCTTTTATAAGATAGGAATGAGTTCTATATGTATGTATATCTATTTAATGCATTACAGCTCAGTATATAGTAAGTTTAAACACTTCTTTCATAAACACATATAAATATAGGCATTATCATAGAAGAGTTTAAACTAACCATGTTCCTGGCTTTAATGCTAATGTATTAACATAATACAAAAAGCAAGTCAACAAAAATAATAGTCAATATTTTATAGTACTGACAACAACCAAATGGGTAAGTCTGTGGATGATTGTTTTATTTCTGTTACACGAGCACGTTATATGACAATGCTTAATTACCTTAGCTTTAAGTACATGTAGAGAAGTAAACCAATAAATTATTAACCATATTTACACTTTACGCATATATGTCATACCTTTTTGTGAAATAAACCTTTTTAGTTTTTATATGCAGTTATGTTTTAAGTTAAACGATATAAATGAATCATCAAATAAAAATATTTAGTCTACTCAACTTTATCACTGAAAATATTTTACTCTAGTTTAAAACCAAATTGTTTCTCAGTCGATATATTATTTTAGAAGAGCTTACACATTCAATAATTTTCAAAAAACTATTTCTTTGATATCTTGCCGACTATGTTAGTGAAGTTACCCTTGAAAGTACTATAAAAATATGTGGAAAAGCTAAGATTGACTGCGATAACACTATATTATATTGAAAATTCCCATCCTGACATTTTGTTAGTAAGGAAGGAACGAACCGAGCGAAAAAATTTATTTTCAATTAGCTTTTCATGATGGTTCTACATATATATATATATATATATATATATATATATATATATATATATATATATATGATTTACAATAATGAAATAATACTCATGGAGTAGATACGTTATGTAATAATCATATAATGACACATCTGTTATAAATTAATATTGGAAGACAGAAGAAGAATAATAATCAAAGTACATTTTTGATAATCAAGTAGTTGAGACGTTGCATAATATATAAAAAGAGAAGGAACTAAAAAAATATTTTGATGAATGGTCAGTAGTGTAATAGTTATGTAAGAATCAAAAGATGAATGTTGAGAATAAGTAAAATACAAATGTGCAAAAGATGGAAGACATACGAAAAAACTTTATCAAAGTTCTGCTACAAACACTATATTAGTAACAAAAAGCTTGTTTGTAGACTATTTTATTTGACATGCATTGTAGCATAAACTATGTCATTTCTGTAATAATTAAATTCACATACGGAAGGCCTCACACGAATAACAAACAAAATCATGCAGGTTACTGATTTGAAAAGTTGATTTCAACTAGCTAGTTTATGAACACTTATTAACATAAAAGTAAATTGTATCTCCAACATCCTATAAAGAACTATTAAAACTAAGGATAAGAAAATGAGTATTTAGTATTATGTGTGACTTCCTAATACATTGTACTCATCATTGAGACACAAAATCGCATTATCTCAGTGTGAAATATATTGGCTTCTGCACTCTCACAATTTTCATTGAACGTCTTGAAATTGTCGGTAAAAGTTGATCCTCACTATTAAGTCAATGTACTACACGAACATCATTCCAAATCAAATCACTATTTAACACTGAATTATACTTCAATATTATACTTCCGGAGAATTTCAGAGTGAGATATTCAAACTCAGTGGACAACTAACAGTGAGTATTGTTGAATAGTCACAAACTAGGAGGAGACGTATATCTATCGTCCTAATGAAGTAAGATTTTCTAACAGCAATAAAATCTTCATAAATAACGTCACTGACTCCTGAGCAAATACTTGTTAATGACTTTTTCAAACATATATTTTTCAAAAGTCAAGTGAGATATTATTGGTAAATGACGATAACCAGATAGGTACTCGTAAATTTCATTGAGTGTTCTTGTTTAAGTATTGTTTGTTCTTCACATTGATGTTTAATTGAGCATCGATTGATCAAATGTTAGTTTCATTTTCATTGTAATTATTATTGTACCATGTTATAATGTTCAAATATGAAGATGATATTCCTATTTTTAGTGAAAAGAAACTGACACATTTTCTCAGCAATTTGAGAACACCTTCGAAATTCAATAAGAGAATAATTTGTACTAATCCCGAAAAATTAGTCGTACATCATTATTTGAAAATAGTGTGGATCATAGAGTAACTAGCACAAATCATTACAATGAACTAGACGTAATCTATTGAAACATGCACACTTACAAACATGATACATTTTCTTATCTAAATTACTAAAATACAACTTATTATTACTGTAACTTTCCAATAAACTATATACATCAATTAAGTGTATGAGAGATCATCATCAGTGAAATGGATTGTAAGATGTTTAATTCTATCAATATTTTCTATTGTTTCCTCCTGATAACACTTGTCAAAATAATCCCTTTGTCATTTGTGTATTTTAAAACAAAATAGTTTTTCAAACATTTATTCAATAATCTTTTACTGAGTTTAGATCAGATGACTTATCCTAAAATAAATTAAAAAACTTTCCATAGAAACTTGATAAATAAACTTATATTCCTATGTACATATTATTAATTTGTTTATCAATTATGCTGACTGAATTGACGTTTATTTTTCTTAATAAATCTTTATTAGTATGGTTTCATGTGGTAATAGAACTTAATACTCATTATTAAACTATTCACATTATATTAAT